ACATGTACCACAAATAAGAAAGTGTGAGATGATATGACAGTAAACAAACAAACAAACAAAAAATCCCTATATTCTTTAATCATTTAATATAAAAATTGTGGAAAGAAAAGTTGGAGCTGAATTAATTTTATCTTCACACAGATGGTGCTTCAATAAATAAAAATAGAAATGTTCTTCATAAAACACCTTTTATTTGAAGTCTATCTCAAAGGATCATTCTTCTGGCAACAGAGGGAAGCTGAATAGAAAAAATGGGGAGGAGCTCTAAATCAGAAGACAGAAAAAACAGCTTAAGTAGACATACAGCGGATCTAAACAATTTACACATTCATTTTCAAAGCGTTCTTGTAAAACTAAAACATAAAGTAAGATAAAAAGAATAATGGAAAATCTAAAACATAAATGTATTCAGTCTTTATAAGTTCACAGCGGCCACAAATAACAAGTCTGATTAATCTAAAATTAGTTAGACTTCAACCTATTCTAGTAGATTTCCACATTTCTATTATTTAGCTGAAGTTGGAACTTTCTGGGAGGTTATAAGGTATGAGAATATTTTATTTGTACAATGATATCAGTACGGGGAAAGGTTGAAAATGAAACCACAGAAGGATATAAATAGTGGGCAGTGATGGTAATAGCTGTAGAAAAACTATTACATCAGTGACATTACAAAAACTGCAAACCGTTTCCCCCAAAAGTTAGACAAGGAGATATTTAAAGTGCCAAGGAACTGACAGCAGCACTGGAGAAGCTGCCGGTATTTCCAAGCAATCCTGGCTGTGTTCTGCATGCCCCATCAATCTACTCTATTCTCCATATGTCCAGAGTAAGGTTTCTAGACAGGACAGCTTTTTCTACAAAAGAAAACATCCAGGCCTGAATAAAATTGCTGGTTGAGGCTCTGTTCTTTAAAGGTTAAGGTTTCCTCAAAACAAGGTTAATTTATAAGAAATTAAACATCCTTCTCCCAGATCTAAACATATTAAAGGTGAAACTGAGAAAAACAACATGTCAGTTGTTTTTTTAATGAGCAGGAGAGAATAAGCAAGTTGCCATAGTTATTGAACAACTGAGCAGCGTTCTCCTGTGGATATGTGGTGCACGTCTGACACCTGGTGGTAATTCTTGGGATAGCAGGGGAATTTATTGAACGAAAGTTTCAAAGAAATGCCTTATTGAACGGTGGCTGCTATCATATAAAACGTTGAATAGATGTAAATCAGTAGTTAATGACAATTCAGGAAACATATTTTGTAAAACTAAAACTTTATGAAGGTTTTAGTATTTTATTTGAAACGTTAAATTTATCATCCATAATCAGGGGATTTGATATTTGCAGTAGTTAGAATGTGCCAAGAAAAAAAAAATTATACTGGATTTAATGACTAAAATGTGTGATATAAATAAATAATTAATCCCCTAAATATGATTAACATGATTAATATTAACAAAATAATATGATTAAAATGCAACAATAAAAATACTCAATTTAAATATTTGCAGTTTTACTGAGTTGCCCAGCTTAAGATACAGTGGCCCCCAAAAGTACTCACATTTCCACACTTAAAACAAACATTTTATTGGAATACTGAGTGAAAGACCACCACAAAGTGGTATGAAACTGTAAAGTATAGAAGAGAATGTATTTCAAATAAATTGAAAAGAACACTGTGCAAAATTATTCAGCCTGAGTCAATACCTTTTGCTGCAATAAAAGCTGCAAGTTTTGGGGTAGGTCTCAACAGTTCACTGTCGTTTCCTCTTTCCACTCTTCCTTTTCACGGCTGTTGAAAAACTGAAAAGCAGTTTTTAGATCCTGCCACAGATTCTCGATTTAGTTTTGCACTTCGACTAGGTCATTTTAACACTTGAAAATGTTTCAATTTAAACCATCCCGCTGTAGCCCTGGCTTTAGGTTTAGGGTTGTTGTCCTGCTTGGAGGTGAACCTCCAACACAGACCCATGTATATGAAAGACTTGAAACATGTTTTCCTCCATCTTCCCATCAACTGTGATCATCTTCACCGTCCCTGTGAAGAGAAGCATCCCCAGAACAGGATGTTGCAAAACACATTGTTTCCCACATTTGCTGTTTTGCATTTAGGTCAGAAAGTTCCATATTTTTCTCATCTGAATAAAGCACCTTCTTCCACATGTTTACTTTGAGCCCAACATGGCTTCAGGCAAACCACTTACGGTATATTCTTTTTAGCAATAGCTTTCTTCTTGCCACTCTCCCTAAAAGACCACATTTGTGCAGAGCATGACAAACATCTGTCTTCTAGACACATTCCTCCACCTGAGCTGTGGATCTCTGCAGTTCGTCCAGTGCTCACCTTGTTCAGGCTGAGTTTTAAGTAGACGGCTGGTCTTTGTAGGTGTGTAGTTGTCTTTCAATTTTCAGATTATGGATTTAACAGTGTTCCATGAGAAGTCCAAAGCTTGGGTAATCTTTTTAAAACCTAAACCAGATTTAAACTTTGCACAACTTTATCTCTAAACCCTGTGACATGTTCCTTTGACCTCATGATGCATTATGCTCCCCAATATCCTTTTTAACCAACCTCTGAGGCCGTCGAATAGCTGCAATATTTCTACTGATAAGATTACACATAGGGGGACTGTATTTAGTCATGAGCATTTATCAGGAAATTTGAAGGCAGTTGGTCAAACTCAGAGAAAAGGAGGTGAATACTTTATATTTTTTTGTGTGTAAAAATTTTTTAAATCTCTTATTTTATTCACAGTTTATTGTTTATGACTTTGTTTTTCTCATTAACATAAATCAAACAAATTATACTTATAGTTACTAGAATACTTCTGTAATCCAATCTACATGCTGGTATCAAGCAGCTTCTTCAATTTTGAGCTTGTTGAAACCCAAAAAACACTTCAACCTTACCTGCTGCATCAAAATGTCCTTCAACTGTGGTGGGCCTGCTTTATTTCCCACCAAAGTCTAAGCATCTTCTGTTTTCTCTCTCTTCCAAAACACTGATTTATATCTGGGAGTCATTATCAGGTTTAATCCTTGGTCAAGCAGTCCTAAAATTAAACACCCACACGCTTACTTTACCAAAACTAAAAGCTAGAGAAGTTTCTTCAACACTGAGAAAAGATGATAGGTTTTAAAAAAGGCTTAAGCTGAGGCTTGTACGCACAAAAACAGAGAAGAGCAGCCAGGCGGAGGATAAACATGTAAGCACAGGAAACAATTTGGGATCACTGAACGTGAAACTGAAGTTTCAATTGAAATAACAGCTATGGTTGCTCATATGGAGAGTTATCAGCCTCCTTAGGTTAACATCTTAAATCTTTCAAAGGGGGTAAACTCTTACATTATTTGCATAAAATGTGAGGTAGTCTGCTCCCTTACTAATTAAATTAAATTAACATACAGGCCCAAACCTAGTAATATTAGCGCACAGCTGTGCCTTTTTAATGAAAACTGAAATATTTCAGTATTATATTTAGTAAATTTCACACATTTGTAAAGTCATACATAAAATTACATCTTTAATATTTTTGATTAACTAATACTAAACTGAAGTCAATCATGACTCTATAAATCAGAAAAAATGTTTACTTTGTTTCATTTTAAAAGCAATATTCCAAAACTCAACCCCACATTTTGTAATGTTGATCAAATTTCATGACATGTAAATTTTAAGGAGTATAACCCTAAAACAGCAAAACCACCTCAAGAAAGGATGTAAAACGGTAGAGAAAATTTTGTTCTTTCAAAATAATCAAAAGTACAGTGCTATGCAAACAGATTAAAAAAAGCAGGGACAAATATAGGATGTACAGGCTAATTAGAATTATTCAGACAGAAAATAAATAAGATTTGGCTCCTGACTTAATTGTCTTCAGCCACATCAGGAAATTCTCGTCTCTAGAGGTCAGTGTAGAGGCAGATGGGGAGGATGGATAGGACTGAAAAGAGCAGATTTTCCTAAGGAATGACCTTTTAAGTACATTTAACCTAATCCAACCAGATTTAATGTGGCAGATAATCCAGAGGACTCAGATAAAGGCTTACAAATCACATCAATGACTGCCTCACAAACAGGCCACACTTTGAGACCACCAGGTCACCTCACAAAAAAAGTTAATCTTAGTAACTTATTCCAAATATTTCCTGTTAATTCTGCAAAAAACTTTGGCATCATAGTATTATTTGGTATAATTTCTTTAGAAAGTAATTTTAGCAAATAATACTGCTTTTAAGAACATTGAAAATTATTAGATTTTGTAAAGCTCGGTGGCCATGGCATGTTTTATCTACATATTAAGATCAAAAGACGTCTTTGACTGTAGTGAATCTGTTCAAAAGATGACTTCCTATCCATTCCTTCCATATTTCTCACCCCTGGAGCTTTTTTCCTTTAATCCATTATGTTACAACATAAGTTTCTATCTCACTGTTTTGTTCCACCTCTGGAAACCAAACCATTTTCATTTTCCTGTCTTTTCTTGTCACATATGATCATATATTGTAATTTCACTCTGTTGCTGCAATTTATTTTTTTGGTCTTTTTCCTACTAACTCTGGCCCATAATTATATAATTGTGTACATGCCCTGAATGATTAGACCTATAATCCTGAAAACAGTTTCAGTTGGAAATATGCATCAAACCCGTTTGCTTTCCAAGATAGTATGTGCGTTCCCCTATTGGTAACTATTACCCATTCAGCACAGCCTCTGACCTTTGGGCAACTACTTGTTTCTCGTACGAGTGGTCCCTGATGGTCTACGCTATTGACCGTTATAACTGTTGTTACAAACAACATACCTAAATTTCCATTTATGGTCAAATAATAACCCCAATTTGGCTTCTTAAAGTAAATGAAGGGCAGAAACACACATTCTCCCTTATAAATAAAATGGCTTGCAAAAGAATTCATTCCCCTTGAACTTTTCCACATTTTGTTACATTACAACTATTTCATTAAAATCTTATGTAAAAGATCAACACAAAATGAAATACAATTGTGAATTAAAAATAAATTTATAGTAAATACATGTTTTACAAGTGTGTTTTGCAGAAGTAATTAGCCCAATTTTCTCTGAGTGCAACCAACTGCCTTCAACATTTAAGACTTCCTCTTTTGCCCATTGCTAATAAATGTTATGCATTTCTGATTCATTAATTTTTCACAGTAGAACTGAATGGAGGTTTACTGCTTTGATTACATTTAAGATCTCTGCATCATTGTCATTCACATTTATATGCTGCTATTTTAAGGGACAATTTAAAGTCTTAAAACTTGAACAGTCCTCAGAGACACTTTGAACAGAGTCTTAAACCCCCCTTTTATTAGCTTTTCAGTTACTCGTGCTTATTTTCATTTGTGTTTAGTGTTTGTGATTACATACAAAAATACTGTGATAGGAATTTTTAGCTAATAAAGGTATCAATGTTTTTAACCCTATATGGATATCTATGCAGTGAAAGTTTTACATTTACTGCATAAAAACATTTTATAATTTAGAGCCAAAATCATGTCCTTTGTTTAACATTCGAGGAAACTGAGACAATTTCTTGGGTTACTGATTAATAAATCTCCACAAACCCCAAATTATTAAATTGGTGAAAGACAACTGCATTTCAACAGCCAGTCCAGGAGTCCAACCTTGAGTAAGACTAAATAACCTTGGTGAATAAGCAGATACCAGTTATAATCATTTAATAAACAACTGGTTCTACCCTTGATTTTAATGTCCTACTCGATAACTAAAACTCCCAGTTCTAGTTATCTAATATATTCATAATCTTCTTGTAAAATAGCACAACACAAAGTACAGCTAGAGTAGGAAATAACCACCAACCATATAACTGTCTTCTGAAGTTTGTTTTTGCTACATAAACAATTGTACAGGAAGCAACTCAGCAAGAAGACAAAGATGTTAAAGAGATATCAATTTGAAATCCATTTGTTTTATTTAATCTGATTAAGAAAAAACAAAAAATCTGCTATGCCCCGCAAAATTATTTTTTTCTAAATTTTTTAGTCATAGGTTAAGTTTCCTCAACAAACAGCTTTCTTTCTTGGTCTTCCTCTGGGCCTTTTTGGGGTCTTACAGACTTTTTTTCTTTCCCTGTTCTTAATTTCAGTGGGGTCAAAGTCTAAGTCCTCATTTTCTTTCTGCCTTGATGTCACTTTTTCATTGTTCTTCTCCTCGTCCTCCGTTAGGTCCAAGGATTCATCACTTTCACACAGCTCCTCTTCATCATCTTCACTACTGGACTGTCTCCTCTTTCTTGGCTTCCGGTTTCTATCTTTAGCAGTATTAGTGTTTTTATCTTGTCTTTGCCGTTTTTCCTCTTCAACTGTTGTGTCTTTGATCTTCTTCTTTGGTCTCCCGATGGGTCTGCCTGTGGTTCTCCTTTTTTTAAACCCTCCTCCACCAGTCCACACGTCTTTCACAGCGTGATCCTCCTCTACAATATCATTCAATGAGTCTGTGCCTCTTTCACCCTCAGGGTCACCTCCAACGGATCCCTCCAGGTTTGCAGTCTTCTTCTGATTCTCAGACTCTGTGTGGAAACGCTTGAGGTGACTCTTCAAGCTCACGTTGTGATTGAAGCCTCTGTTGCAGTGCTGACACTTGTAAGGCCTCTCCCCTGTGTGCATACGCATGTGGGACTTCAGATGGCCAGACTGGTTAAAGCCTCGCTCACACACTGAACACTTGAATGGTTTTTCTCCCGTATGCACCAGCAGGTGTCTCTGGAAAACTTTAAAATACAAAAATTCCATCCCACAAATGTGACATTTTAGCAGACCTTGTTTTGGGTGATCTTTCATATGGACTTGGCGGTTCTTGAACGTGTCGAACATCTCAGAACAGTGGGGACATTTATAAGGTCTTTCTTCACCAGGGTGGATCTGCTCATGATTGTTCTTGTCAGTTTTAGTCTTGAACCCAGCAAGGCAGAATTTGCATAGGAACTGATGGTTTGTATTGTGTATTTTGCTGTGGATTGCTAAAGACTGCTCACTGACACACCTCTTCCCACAGATGTTACAAGAGAAGGGCTTAATTTTATACTCACAAATGTGAGGCCTTCTGGTTTTAAATAACTTTCCACATTCTGTGCAGAGCTCCCTCTGTTTGGGAGCAGATTCCTCAGTGTCTTCATCAGAAGGGTTATAATCCTCATCCTCATCCTCATCCTCATCAGAATCCAAAATCAAAGACTCGTGCTCTGGTTCCCAGTTGTCATCTGAATTCTCAACCTTATCCGTCTTGCTGGGTTCATCCCGTTCCTCCCTGTGATCACCCTCTTCATCAGCAATTTGGTCTTTCTCTGATGACATCTCATCTGCAGATATCTGTAAAGCACAAAACAGAACAAAAGAGGGTCTTAGTTTCGAGTCTAAAATTATATAGAATCCGAATAAAGTTACATTTCAACTCTATTGCTCAAGCAATTTGATTAAAGTTCACTTATAGGAGGTAGACAATGCTGGAGATGAATGTGCCAGAGCACATGTTTACCAATTACTCAATCCAGTCAATTAATACATTCAACAAATGCCCAAAAGTCACTGATATTTAAGTTGCCTCTTTAAATAAGGATGTTTGTGAACGGATAAATATGGCTTATAGTATTATGGTGTTCAGACTGGCCTTATTTGAATACATTTGTTTTAAAGAGGAAATGAAACGGTCAAACAAACTAACTTCATCCACAAGACTGTGTCATACTATTATCAATAACTATATAGCAGTACCTCAAACGGTGATGTCACAGGGTTAATTAACACTAACTCTAGGAATTGGATACATTGAATATACTGGCGATACATTATAACCATAAAACCCTAAAAACATTTGGTTTTAAGGACCACAAGGCTGAACAGACATGAAAGCGTCTAAATCACATTGCTTATGCAATGTGAGTGTGTTGACCGGCCAACACACTTTGACAGTGGGTCAGCAGCAACAATCAGCTGTTATAAGACGCTAAGCATGCAGAACAGTGACACAGTTATGTTGACGTCATCCGCGTGCCGGACTGGAGTTGTGACAGGCAGCCGGGCCACAGGCGGCTACGCTCTACCCTTTATATTGGCTCAGCTAGCTAATCTGAATCGTTCAATTCCATTTCGAGAGCGAGAACATCTGTGGTTGTAGCACTAGACATCTTCCAGGCATGTGAGTTAAACTAGCTGCAGTTCAGCAGACAGGATGAATGAATGGTAGCAGGCGCATGCGGATGATGTCATACACACTGCGATTTGTTTTTTTAAAAATATATAAAATATAACCGCGGATGTCTGGGGGACAGTGATTCACCTTCATGTAATGAATGCTGGCGTACCATAAATAATAAATTATGAACAGATTAGTCTGTGACTTCAACTCGTTGCCCATAGGAAGACGTTACTTCGATATAACCTAACCAAATATTTTCAGAACGGCTCCAAATGACACAAAATTAAAATGGGTGAGTAGAACATGATGAAATAACATAAAATCAAGGGCCCAATGATTTCCAAAACCCTTTCTCTGCCTTATGGAGACTAGTTTTAAAGTCTAGTTTTGTTTCAGTCATCCTTGGAGAATGATTTTATGTCTGATGCTTTTTTTATTCTTATACAAGAAAATGACACCTGAAATTTTTAATAGCACTCAAAAATAAATAGAAGAACCTTACCATAAAGACAAAAACATGTTATATGGTACCTACCTCTACAGATATTTCCAAGCATTCTGCCTGGTGATCATCTAGAAGGGCAGAAATGCTTTTTTCGCTCAGATTTTTCCATTGCCTACTGTAGCTACACTGCAGGCACTGCTGGTTCAGGACTAGCAGAACTCCATGGAACGACTTCTCCATCTTTACTTTGGATTGACACAAAGGGCACTTGGCACTGAACAGCTGGAGGAGCTGCTTTTCATTCACAACATACATTTTCATCCTCTGAAGTAGATTGATTCTGAAAAAGACATTAACACCCAAGTTTTAGAGATACAGATTTTGAAACTTTAAACTTGTGCAAAAAACATAATGGTCAAAATAATGACAGAGAATAGTTGGAGTAATACCCACTTTTCCCGGATAATGTCAAGGTTTTCGATTTTTTGCAGCATTCTACAATAACTGGACTCTGAAGATTCAGAAACCGTGCTTAATGCTGGGCTTCCAGGGGCACCTGCAAAATATTTATTTTTTTATTTTTTTTAAATCAAGGCAAAGAAGCAATCTGTTTTTCCTCCTCATGCTTAAAGTTGGCTCACTTAAAGCTGATATCTCTTCTTTGTCCAACGCTGAAGATCCTGGGGTTGGACCGACACTTGTTTTTATCTGGTCAGGTTTAAAAGCAGGATCTATTGGCTCAGTTTCCTAAAACAAACAAAAGCAGTAAAGTTTGTAGCAACACAACTATACAGAATAAAATAAAACCCCTTAAAGCAACAAAAGTATCTCTACAAATTCTCAAACAACCTTGATGATAAAGAAATGGCTTAATAAATGGGTAGTTGGAAATTTGATTTGGCTCTCAAAAATAGTCTTTCTTGTAGTCCTTGACAGCTGAACCTTCAATAAGCTTTCAGAGGTTTATCCATCTTTAAATATTACTGCCTTCCTTCACCCAACTTCAAATAGAACCAAAAATAAATGGTCCCTTCAATTACTGCAATACAGTTGCAAAGTCACATGCTTTGGGTAAAGTTTTTGAAATGGACACAAATAAAAAAATTAACAACTCAGGTCATGAAAATTTTTGCAGCAACAATATATCAGCATATGAAGATATTGTGATATTTTAATGATGATGACAAATATTGCTATATGTCATCGTTATGCTACGAAATCCCCCGAAAATTCATGAAATTTTGCCATATTTTTATATGTTAAATATATTGACGCGGTATCGATCTATTTTACTAACAAAATCTCACAAGAATTTGCAAAATATAGAGTTTGTAATAGAACAATGAAATTTCACGAGATTTTGAAAGTAAAATAGATCAATACCGCGTTTTTAAAAATCAATTTGATATCAGCTTATGAAAATATATTTGAGTACATTATTTTTCAAAGTGTCAGAAATGGATAACAAAACTGCTATTTTCAATGACTACTTATTTTTGTCCAGCTTTAACATCAGTATCGATATCGGTTATCGGCTACATGAGTTTTAAAATATCGGCATATCGGATATCGGCCAAAATCAAAATATCGTGCATCCCTAATATATAGACAAATTTCCTGATTCACATATTTCATAAAACACCTAAACTGACCATTATTTTTTCCCCCCCTTTTCTTTTTTATGGCTTAATTCGAGTTGTGGGATTTAGGCTGCCCTGATTTTAAAAATGTGGTTTGATAAGCAACAAAGCCATTCTCAAGCACATATCAAGGTGCTCATCCGTGAGCCTGGATTGATATTTATTTTTGATTATGGCCATGATGGAAAATACTGCTTCACAGCAGCAGGTTGACCAAACATACTCAAAATGTGCAGGTTCATCTTTAAGCACACGATTTCACTTTTCTGTCACCAGTTCACCCCTGTTCTTCCAGCAGGCCACACTTTCTTTCACTTTATGTCATCTTCTACTCCTTCTTTTCCATTGCCCAGTGTAGGTACCAGATCTGCTAGGGTGGTACAAGCCTGAACTGGCCACAGGTTTGCCTGCTGTGTCAAAAGGTATCTAGCAGGAGCAGCCCTGATTGACACAGCTTATTGGCTAATTTGTATCAAGTGCAGCCTGGTTCCAGGTGCTCTGGAGGGCTTTACAGTACAAACAGGAGAAGCGGCGCAAGTGAAAGTAGACACTGCCATCGGACAACATGCAGTAATTTATAAATGTTTTAAATCAGGTTGGGTCAGGATTAGCCAGCAGGTGGGTCTGGGACTGGACCGTGGTTCACTAATCTGGGACCTCTGCTTTAAAACTAGAAGGGTGTACATTTGTCAAGAAATTTCCCCCCCCCCCCCCCAACCCCAAAAAAACTCTTGCCTTTATAGTGAAGCTACCGGTACCTTGGTGCTGCCCATTTCACAAGGTTGCTGTATCACACAACCTCTGAAGGCTGATAAAAAGTCTGAGACCACTTACAACCAAAAAGTTGCTGCCCTAAGCAGATTGGATGCTAAAAGATTCACTGCCTCTCAACTCTGAGCCTTTTTACGTAGATATTCTTTAATCACTTGTTTTCACCGATCAGGGGAGGGGCTGGTGCTGGGACAGCAGAGCTCTCTCTCACTGCAACAGTTCTGCTGTTCTATGTCCAACTTTTAACTTTTTAGCCAGCAAGTTAAAGGTTGGAAATAGATGGGTCTTCAAAATGGAAAAGACCCTGACTGGCCTTAAATATCTAAAGGCGAGTCTGATACAATGTTAGAGGAAGAGCTGACTCAACCTCTGTACAATAAAATAAATATCTACTTTTATCTGTGAATAAGTTATGAATGTTGCAGAGTTTAATTTTACACTTTACCATTCTGATTTAACACAAAAATCAGTGGTTGAGACATTGCGATCAAAATGGGCTGGAAAACAGCATATACAGATCAAACTTTTCTAGAAGACTTAATGGAATCTCACCTTATACACTGATGGCACAGCGTCTGTATTCAGCAGGGCAATGCTGGTAGCTGGATTCACTTGGAGAAAACAGCTAGGTGTGAAGTGTTCAGCACAAACCCTGATGTCAACCCATGAGGATTCTTTAATTCTCTGACCATTGACTAGAAAAAGAAACTGGACCCATTCCAGTCTCTTATCTGAGTCTGCTGGTAGACTGAAGCACTGCACTCCACGACGCCATGAATCACATCTGACGACGGAGCACATCCTGGATTTAAAAGCATCATCCGCCTCTTCTCTAAAAGGGCTGAAGAGAGAAAGAAATTGTGAGTGATAAATTAACATGGACCATTTTTAAATGAAGCGGGAAGAAAAAGTCAGTGGTACACTGCCATTTTAGTAGGTCTTCTTAGAAAGCAAATAGAAGCCTTACATTTTATATCATACAAACGATTCAACTGTGTTTTAATCTAAAACAAAAATTGAGAAAATTACATTGAATATTTTTTTTAGTAGTTAGGCTGCATCCACACAAAGAAATAAAACATCATAATTTCAGAAACATTTTTGGAAGCACAAATCCAGCTCAGTAAATGTGTACCTCCATATGAATACATTCGAAATGCCTGAAAATGCAGTGAAATTCTGCCAGATCGGTCAGTGATACGACGATAGAAAAATATTTGGAAGGGAATTGGGCATGTGCAGTACTATATGGCACCATTGTTATCGTAATTTTCGGAGTATCTTAGCGTCTCAGGGAAAGTTGCTGAAAGTCGCCATGGAAATTGGTTGCCTAGCACCCTCAAGGAATACCACAGCACGAGGTTTAGAGAAAGACCGGGTTTAACCTTGTTCTTCACAACCAGTGAGAACTGGCCACAAAGAAACACAAATAAAAGGTACAAATAATCTTGATATCAATAAATAAAGTACATACAAATTAAAAAGAGACAAAAATCGTGAGCTGTCATCCACAATGGGCTAAATACTCTCCTGGAGTCTTATATTACCTTTCCTTCAATCTACCCAGTTTCTAATATTTTAATGTACCTTTCATTTGGTCTTCTCAGTAGTATGGTAAATGGCGGTCAGCTGTATTTGCTGAGCACAATTAATTGAGCCGGAATCTTAAAGCTTTAATAATTAGCTTTGCCCCTAATAACCACCAAATGGCACAAAGTGAGGAAAGGTAGCACAAAATAACATGGGAGCCTGCTACAGAACCAGTTTCAGAAATGTACATTTACAGATCCCCAATAAGCTGGCTTTGTGGGAAGTGCTTTTATGTTTAGGCCACCGTTTATCTCCGTATGGATGGGGTCTGCATTTGTATTTTATTGTCTAGCATAAGCATTTGATCACCTACCAAAGAATGACAATAACAGCACTTACAGGCCTGTTAAATATTCAGGGATCCCTCTACTCATCTGTATAAAAGACAATCGTAGACACACTTTAACTCTAATCAGTTAATTTTCTGGAAAGAAAATTAGGAAAAATATGTGGCAGCCCAGATTATTTACTATTCTAGGCTTCGAGAACAATACAACTCAGTTTGTAACAGACCTCTGACACAAAACTCTCCTCCTCTTGCATGTTTCCGCTGTCCATAGCGTTCCTTGTCAGTGCTACTTGGTCCTAATGTAATTTCCCATTGGGAACCTACTAGCACTAAGTAGCTAACTGGTTAGAAATGTGCTTCCGAGACAACGGCCACAACCAAACTTGCTTGCTAACCTTCCACCACAACAATCCGGCCCCCTCGATAATCAACCAATCACATTCACTTTATTCACTTGTGTAAAATCGGGCACCACTTGGGAGAATTCAGAACTGCAACCGTTGGAACAGCCGCTTCCCTACGACTTTAACAAGCCGTACAATTTGCTATGATCACGGGTTTATATCCAGTCTTGTGGCTGCACCGTGCAGATCTGATGATGCTCACAGTGGTCCTCAGTAAACTCCAGGGACTTGTACAAATGAAAAATTGGTGGAAACACTGCAGATAGCTACTTGCAGTGGGGGTCTAGACAGACATTCTGATCGCTGACAGCCTTCACCAACCACGTTCATTCTCTAAAAATAAAAAAGATATTTCGGTCACCTTTTTTATTGTTATACCCAGCGACACAAAATCCGGATGGCATCTTTAATGTCCGGGGGGCCAGATCAGGTAATAAAGATGACCGCGGCTAGATTCTAACATCTGTAAATAAATTATTTACATCACTAACCTGTAATGATCAGGAGACTCCTTGACATTAGGCACCTGGGGTGTCAGAGGTTCAGATGTGCCTTTATGTCCTGCAGGATCTTTTTTACTTCTACATTCATAGCTGCAAAAAAAAGGGGACAAAATGAAATTCATTAGCCTAGATCTATGGGTTTAATGCACAGACAAAATCTTGCACTGAATGCCAGATAATGCAACATCTCTTAGAATTTTTAATCCCTGTTTAGAATCAATTAAACAACAACACAGGCACACGTGGAAAAATGTGTCAGGGCCACATCTATTTATTCTTGTGTCAGGGCCAATCTACATTGATTCTAAAATCAGACAAGAATCCATTCATTTGAAAATATGAGGCGAATTACTCTGATTAACATCCACGCCAAAATAGTATGTCAGAATTTTGCAGAAAGATTTTAGTCATGCTTGGATGCCAAAAAATATTTCCATGATCAGGCTTGATGCAAGAAATGCAAATAAATAACAATATAAGGTCTATTGGGGACTTGACTGATTATAGGGACTCACTTTCCTTACACCCGCGGTTCTCAAAGTGTGTGGCGCGACCCACTGGTGGGGAATTGAGACGTGACAGGTGGGGCGCGCCAAGTTCCGGTGTGTGTGTGTGTGTGTGACTATAAATGTAGAACGTGTGAGAGCAAACTGTCCTTATAGCTGTATGTTGCCGCTTTTTAGACCAATCAAACCCACAAAGTAATCATTACTAGCCTACATGCAGTCTAATTAAAAGAACATTAGATATGAGAAAAATTTCACCTGGAACTGAAGTGCCAAAATAATGATTGACGTGACGTCGGCATATTATTTGTAACGGAATAAACTTTCGCGCCCCAGTGTTGCCAACTCAGCGACTTTGTCGCTATATTCAGACCCCTCCAGCGACTCTTTATCAAAAAAGCGACTAGCGACAAATTAGCGACTTTTGGAGACTCTTACGTGAAAGCACGTATCGTTCCTTTTCTTGTCCTCCAGCGGCAGGTGCTGCCGTGGGGCGCCTCCCCCATCCCAACCCCGTTCTCCCCCGCTATCGCAGGAGTCCCTCTCAGCGCTGCAGAGACACAGCATGTTTACCCTCAGCGTCCAGACTGCAAATAAAGCGCACATGCGCCGGGATTGGCGGCGCAGGTTGATCATAATTAACTGAATTTGAAATATTTTATCTTAAATAAATAGGACCAGTTTATTGAAATGACGTCTGACTCCACCCTGAGGCTCAGGTTTATTGCTCAGACTCATAGTAAATTCTGGTTTGGAGTGGAGAGGGAGTATCCACTCATCGGGCAGAGAGCTGTGTGCATTCTTCTTCCCTTTGCCACATCATATCTCTGTGAGATGGGCTTTTCAACTGTTGCTTCACTGAAAACAAAATACAGATCTCAGCTGAACATTGAGCATGACTTGAGAGTGGCAGTATCAAGCCTGCAACCCCGTTTTGAGAAACTGTGCAATGCAAAACAGGCTCATTGCAGCCACTAATGCAGGGATAAATAGACCTGTATTGCCAGATGGATTTCACTTCTTTTCTTTTATTAACAGATTGCAGAGTGGCACTTTAATTTTTTCTATCTTTGAGCTTGATACAAATTTTGACACAGCTGCATTTTTATTTTCTTTATTTTTGAGCTTGCTGTTATTTGATGTAGATAGTTTGTATTTAGATACTACTTGTTACTTCAATAAAATTGGAACATTTTAAGATTGTTGCATATTTCATTAGCATTGTGTTGGGGCGATGGGGACAGGCGGGGCTTGAAAATTCCCCCTTGTCCAAAGTGGGGAATGACAGAAAAAGTTTGAGAACCACTGCCTTACACTGAAAATAACTTTCATTTTTTTTATTGACATATATAGAGCCTTTTATATAACACTTAGTTCAGCTTTATTGTGGCATTTAAAAATAAGCTACAATTATGAGGACCTATTTACTTGTAGTAAGAAAGACTTCAAGTCTCATTCGACATTTTAAATATCTTGATGTTGTTATAAAAATTCTATATACATAAATGTAATTAACCTATACAAAACCCAATACATTTCAATATAAAGACTAAAGTGAACACCGACTTTGGTCCATTGGAAGGCTCAGCAAATATAAAAGCAAGGAAGACTAATTTTTTGTATGCCTCAAGGTAATCTGCAGTGTTTGAATGATCTTGCATGTACCCATCTTCTCTTTTTAGTGATTACTATAGATTATTATTATTTTTTTTTTTTTACTTTTAGTGTATCTTTCTCATGCAGATTTTTCATTAAATTTTTTCATTGAAATTCTACAAAAACCTGCCAGCTTGAAAGAGCTTCTGTGTGACGCTTAAATTGTGCATTGATGATTGAAAGACATCTTCTGTCTACATTCTACAGTGTGCTGAATTCATGTTAATATTGATTTAAAGACATTTCAATAAGTGGAAAAATTTGCAGGGGGTGGGGGGTATAAAAAAAAAAAAAGTGTATCAACCAAAACTTTTGTGACCCCAATGCAGTACCTCTGTGGACTCCCTGGGGATCGCGCACCCCCTGTTGAAGACCTCCGCTCTACTGCAATCCCCTTCATTCTTTCTGTTTTTGATCTCTTCAGACATATTTCTAAAATTTTTGCTTGACAAATGTTTTTTTTTTTTTACCCAAAGATTAGAAAAAGTAGAGGTAGGTAAGGTCAGCACATGTTTGTTAGCTACATATCGCCCATTCAGAAATGGTTCTGATAGTACCCTAAAGAGCTGCAGTCTGTTACATTGAGAAGAGAGCAGACTTCGACTGAAAATTTGAAGAAAAACAGGTTTCACGCCACTCTCCCCCACCCTCTCTGCTTCACTCATGCCCCACCTCCATTCTCCACCTCTCTCACAGCATCTTCGCAGCTACCGCATGCGCATGTTTGTAATTATAATTACCTGTCAAGCAGAAACGTGCCCAATTCAAAATCGGTTTTAAATCCCTTCAGGTCACGAAGCTCTCTCCACCTCTGAAAGGCTGACCCCATATTTACCCTCGTCTTATCTCGGGCTCGGTCGAGTTCTTTCTTTCTTGAATTTTTCTCTTCCATTGACATCTTCTTTTTTGAAGTCTTTGCCGTGTAAGCAGTTGTCCGCAGGGGCAGTAAGGGCAGTTTGTCTTTCGCTGGTGGCTGTCGCTCCGCCATGACTTCTACGCGCGTCCTCCTGACTGCGGAAGCGGCAGGTTTATGGAGAGATATTTGTGCCATCGGTTTGCAGGAACCAATCCGAGCGCGCAGTGAGACAACACGCGCGCGCTCAACTCTGAAAAACCCTCTCAACACACTGTTCTCGCGCTCAGTTTCATCTCTGCTCGCGCTCGACCTGCTCTCTCCGCGCTCAACACCAGCTGTGCGTTCGGCTGTTTCTCCGCTCGCTCGACTCTCTGCTCTCGCAACTTCAGCAATGCACGTAAATGAACCATACCATCAGCCAATCACGCTCAGCTTCTTTTCATCCAATGAAAGCATTCGTTCCTTCTTCTTCTTCATCTTATTTTCCATCATGGCGGATCGCAAGCAACTTTAAGGTGTATACCGCCACCTACTGTTCATGAGTGTGTAGCAACATTGTTTTACATCTATTAAATTCTATTTTTTAATTTTGTATTCTGAAGATAACTAAATAATGCTTTCCTTAATCTATAAATATCCTTTATATTTCCCAATAATCCTTTAAGACTCCATTCTTGGCCTGTCCTTTCAACTACTCTTCTCAATTTCTCCCTTTTAGGTTCATATGTTTTACATTTCATCAATACGTAAGCATTCGTTCCAAATACTACATCCTGTTAAATGAAAAAAGTTATTTGGTCAACACTCCTAACCATTTGATGGACAGAAGATAGTACTATAAAATATCTTGAATTATCTCAAATAAACTTCAGTAAAACAGTTATTAGATCATTGCCTCATCCATCTCTTTTACCTGCTATTGACATGGATTTAAATTTGCTGTTTTAAAAGAAAAATAAGGAGAATATTTCAGGTTCAAGTATGATTCAACAATATATAGATAAAAAATATTATGTATATGTTAATTTTTTTATGGATGCTTCAAAATATTCCAATATTGGGAATGGTGTTTTGTTTTAGTTCCAGAATTTATTTTTAAATTGGGCAAAAGAATCAGTGATGGAATTCAGCCTACAAAGGAGAAATGTTTTGGATCATATTGGCCTTACAATGGATTGAAGATATCGTTCCATTAAGAAGTATAGTTTGCTCTGATTCTAGATCAGCGTTATATTAATTTAAACACAATTATTCACACAGCAGACCTGATGTGAAATTTAACAATTATTATTAAGAAGACCTTTTACAGATGGACTCTAAATAAGAGGGTTATTCTTTATTATATATATTAAAAAGAATAATTTGATAAACAGGATTTTTCAGTTGGTGGTGTAATTGTTGTTTGCCAACCTCCATAAAACAACAAAAAGAAGAAACACCCGCCACAAAAGCTAAGAGTAAGGCCAATATGATCCAAAACATTATCTATATATTGTTGAACCATACTTGAACCTGAAATATCCTCCTTATTTTTCTTTTAAAACAGCAAATTTAAATCCATGTCAATAGCAGGTAAAAGAGATGGATGAGGCAATGATCTAAAAACTGTTTTACTGAAGTTTATTTGAGATAATTCAAGATATTTTATAGTACTATCTTCTGTCCAGCAAATGGTTAGGAATGTTGACCAAATAACTGTAAGAGTTGTTTGATTTTCCTGATTTTGTTTTTATTTTTTTTATTTTTTTCATTTAACAGGATGATTCCCCGTTTACATACGTGATAAACCAGCCATCAAATACAAGTGTTAGATAAATCCAGTGATAAGCCTGCTGCCTGGCACGTAGCTCGCTATAATATGCAGCTTCATATATCTGTCTCTCTCACACTCACACCACTATCAGCTGTGGTAATTTTATAAAGCTGTGGCCTTATCTAGGTAATGCTACCAGACATCTTGACAACAGTTTGGTTGAAACGGGATGTGGGGGTGGGGTATTACGTGTATAAAAAGACAATTGTGTGTGTAGGATTAATTACCTCTCCAACAGAAAACTGGCAACTTGAGCGTCACTTTGAAAACCTTTTTCCTCCATCAGTGACTTCCAGCGTGTAAATGCCGTGCCAATGTTGATCCGTGTTTTTTGCCGTTTCTTGTCACGCTTGCGTTTATTCTCGTCGTGTTTCCGCTTCTTAGATGACGGGGGTTCGGTGTCCGCCGCTTTTCGTTGTGATACAGAGTAGGCATGATCCTCCATTCGTCTGATGTTTGGCCAAACAGTTTGAAAAGTCACTCACGCCGCCTTGTTCACCAGTCTGGTTACTGATGCACCGTATACCTGCTTCTTCTTCTTCGGTTTCAAGCAGACTAAACGCTTCTCATGCATAATACTGCCATCTATTGTTCAGTACCGTCTCAGTCCATCTCTCTCAACTTGCCGTAGTTACTTTCGAGCGTAATGGGCGATCTCGCAATCGCTAGTTTGTTGGCTCTGCGCTGCCGTAGCGCAAAGATGTCTGCCTCCATGGCTGCGAGACCCTCTCCTATGTAATTATAAATAACGAATTCTAAGGCAACGCAAATATTAAGGTTAAGAGGCTGAGCTCGTAGATGATGATAAATAACATAGTTATGTATAATATATTACATTTCTGACTGTATATCCCTGTAATTATTACACACTCTAGCTTTAAAAGTAAAAAAAAAAAATATGCCTTTCTTCTTCTTCTTCTTGTGAACTTTTATGGCGGTTGGCAAACTAGATAAAGCGCTTTACCGCCACCAACTGATAAGGAGGAGAAGACTCATCCAGAACAAAAGAATAATAATGAAAAAGAAAAAAAAAATAGTTTTCCGAACTGTATATTTTAACCCAACACAATGAAATACATAATCAAATTCGTCCTCATGTTTTCTAACTTGTATATATTTATACTTGTCTATATTTTACTTATATCACTCTGCCAGGTTCTAATGGTCCTACTTGTTTTCCCATCACACTTTCAAACCTTTCCCAGTTTAGATCTCTCACTTCAAGGTACTTTTCTGCAGCTTTTACTGTTATTTTGATTTTTTTCAGTTTTCTTAAAATCTGTGCACTACAATTGATTACTTCTATTGTAATTGGTTTGCTATGTGCAATTATTTTTCTTGTATGTTATGTTATTCATATGATTGGAGTTGAAAATATACTTGTTCTGATTTACAAACTAAAATGGGGCTAATTAAATCCCTTTTCAAAATTTGAATTTTTTTTTATAGTATTACTCTTTAGTCGTCAAAAACAGGAGTTGCATTTTACTTTTTTCAAGTACAAGTATTCTGTCTTAGATATCCTCAGTTATGTTGGTGCTTATAATGAAAGAAAATAGCCATAGATCTCTATTAACTATATTATTCAAAATGTATACTAGATGTATTTACTATATTTAATAAAGATATATTTGCTAAAGCAATATTTAGGAAACAAATTCTTTAGATATGTTAGACTTACATTAGATTTTTGGTTTAAAGCTACAGTGTGTAATTTTCAGCGACATCTAGCGGTCAGACTGCAGACCGCAGCAACATGAACATCTCCCCCCCACCGCTTCTCCCCCCCAACAGTACGGCGAGCGTTACGGGACAAAATTTCTTCCACGACGTCCGCATCACCTACCCTCTCAAGTGATGAGGTTTGTTTACATAGATAATTTTACAGATAGTATTTCATTAGTCTGAGTAGGGTATAGATTTCATGTAGACTTAAGATAATAAATATACCCGTTATTTTTTCTACATCGTTGTGACGTTTTGGTGAGCTGCTTTGCATGGTGATATAAACAGACTACTAATTGTAGTCATTAGTTTAACAGCGAGATTGTGTTCGCTGGAAGAATATATATTCCCCGTTTACAGAGTCCAAGTCATTTTGGTGGCACGGGGGTTACAACGCGAGGAAGAGGGAGAGGACGAGGGCGAAGGCAGGGAGGCCGTGCAGCTAGGGCCAGGCGAGAGAGGGGTGCCAGCGGGGTGAGAGCAGAGGAGGAAACGCTTGAAGATCTCCAAAGGAGCCGGAGAGAAGTAACCGAGGTATATATCCAGAAAATTATTTTACAGAAAATTACTGAATCATTACCTATGAAACGTCAGGGACGTTGCTGAATAAGTATACTGGAGAGGAACAGCATCATCACGCCGCAGCATGTTATTGTTTTAGACAGGTCTGAGCATCCTGTACTCCAAAAACTGCAGTGATATTAGACAATTGTGTGTGTAGGATTAATTACCTGTCCAAGAGAAAACTGGCAACTTGAGCGTCACTTTGAAAACCTTTTTCCTCCATCAGTGACTTCCATCGTGTAAATGCCGTGCCAATGTTGATCCGTGTTTTTTGTCGTTTCTTGTCACGCTTGCGTTTATTCTCGTCGTGTTTCCGCTTCTTAGATGACGGGGGTTCGGTGTCCGCCGCTTTTCGTTGTGATACAGAGTAGGCATGATCCTCCATTCGTCTGATGTTTGGCCACACAGTGCCAAACAGTTTGCAAAGTCACTCACGCCTGCCGCCTTTGTTCACCTTTCTTGTTACTGATGCGCAGTATACCTGCTTCTTCTTCTTCTTTGGTTTCAGGCAGACTAAACGCTTCTCAGGCATAATACTGCCATCTACTGTTCAGTACCGTCTCAGTTCATCTCTCTCAACTTGCCGTAGTTATTTTCGAGCGTCATGGGAGATCTCGCAATCGCTAGTTTGTTGCCTCTGCGCTTGCCGTAGCGCAAAGATGTCAGCCTCCATGGCTGCGAGACCCGCTCCTATGTAATTATAAATAACGAATTCTAAGGCAGCGCAAATATTATGGTTAAAAGGCTGAGCTCATAGGTGATGATAAATAACATAGTTATGTATAATATATTAAATTTCTGACTTTATATGCCTGTAATTATTACACACTGTAGCTTTAATGATAACAAATTATTACTATTGATTCTTACTAATAACAAATGGCTGTAGTTCCTCAATAATACCACAAAAGGGAGACTATGAACTATACTTGGTAGAATTGTTTCATTCAAAATTTGTTTAATAAAGTCTTTTCTATTGCTGTACAATATTTAAATATATACCACAAATGCATATTTGTAGTTCTTATCGACACAATATATTACAATGTTATGTTACAAACTAAGACATGGCTAATTAAATCA